TGTGTGTGTGTGTGTGTGTGTGTGTGTGTGTGTGTGTGTGTGTGTGTAAAGTGGCTGCATGTGAGCCATCAGGAAGCATTTTGGGACGTTTTGAGGACGAGGGACGGGGAAGGGCGTCTGTTTCACGTGAACTGATCGAAGAGGATGTCTTTGTTAGTTTGGATACTTTTTTTATATATAAAGGAATTAATGCAAAAAAGAAGCATAAAGCTAGAATGTATGTGTAGGGGAGTACTGCTGTCCTGTTAGTTCATACCAATATTTTAAGTAAATAAACAGTTGTGTTTCCATAACCACTTTTCCTTTCTGTATTGATTGTGTCATTTCAATTCCTCACACATGTAAAATATGAGTGTATATCTGTATAGATATATACTGTATATATTTATCTATATAAATAGTCATAGTGACGATTGGCACCAGGCGGAATCCTGTGGGCTGCGGTCGAAAAGTCCAAAAAACGTCATGGGGTGAAGGAAAGATGTGAGGAAAAGACCTAACCTCAAATCTCACAGTGCCACCTAGTGGACATTCATACTCGGTGGTACATTTACAACAGTAAATATTTATATTATATTGATGAGATGATCTTTCTTCTTGTACAAGTAAAACATGTGCAGTTACCTCGTTATTTTAGCTCTTGTCTTGCTCCTCAATGGACAGCACACAAGGTAAAAGCTTTTATTTCCTGCAGCCCGTGAAGGCAGCATGAGGACTGCGGTGTGTGTCACTCCTGCTGTAAACAGAACATGTTGTCATCTGCTGCCCTCCTGTGGGGAAAACCCGGTACAACACAATAATAAACACATTTACAAGATATTATAAGCTGATATTTTTATTCTGTACAAAACCAACAGATTATTCTCACAAAGAACTTGTTCACTTGCCAAACACAGGTGTAACTATTAACATTGCTCGAGCACCAAAATACAACTGAGCCACTATCGGTGTTATTAGTTTCACCGATAAAACGTGTGACAAAGGTTCATCTGTCGGCACGTTGCACTTCATGTAAAGCCCTTAATGTGAGGTAAGAAGCTTCCACATAAAGAGTTAATAGGGACAGACATCCTTCTATTCATATTCATATTCAACTGAAAACATGAGCATTCATACCACACGTTAAACCAGTTTCTCCTTCTGTGAGAATGATGGTTCTGACTGATGATTGGTTGTTGATGGTCTAAGGTGCCCTGTTCTTCTTCTTCTTTGTACATCCTGCACAAAGAGGAGAGATGCTACAGTATCAATTTAATACTGATGCCTCTATATGAAGTACATAAGCATGCGAGAGAATCAGCAAGAAGGATGGCCATTTCTACGAAGTTATTCTTAACGCTCGTCACCGCAGTTCCGATGAAATCAGTGGAAACGGTTTACGGCACACAGACTGGAAAGAGTGTTTATGTTTCCAACTGCAAAAGTTTGAGTAGTACGTTGAAATGAAAAGGAAGCAGATTTTTCTTTGGACAATCATATTTTTTAATGTAATATCTTGTGGACATGGCTGATGCTGGCTCAGGAACAGCAAATAGAAAAAGAAAATAATT